TTCGACAATTTCCCAAGAAGAGCTTCGTCGCGTATTTCGAAACATGTTAACGAGATGTGAAACTTGCTTGCAAGCACAAGGAAGTCACTTTGAACATCTTTTGTGATTTAAGGTAAAAACAATTAATGTAATAACATGTGTTAGTGACGAGAAATATTCGTAGTTCGCTGTTACTAGCGGCACCGAAACTGACTCGCCCGTGACTCACTCGTACAAGTCCCGCCTACATCAACAGCAGCGGCCGATAACGCAATGTAAGCAAGACCGTAAGCTCATAAATTGGAGACCCGGTATAAGCAAGCAATTTTAAGTTTCTCGGTGTCAAAAGTAAGTCTTTCCTTGTGTTCGCTGCTACGTATTTTTAATGTCTTCACTTTTTATTGGGAAATGTTGGAACATTTTGTGGGTGACATGTTCCTGACACTGGAGTTATCTGGAGTATCACGCGAAGAAACAGGTGAGTGACGCAAAACGTAAATTTGTTCTACCTCTAATCTGTGAACGATCCATACACCCCAGAATGCCACACTACATGGCGCTAATAAGTAAGTTTCACTATGCGTCCACCTAACCCTGTGTTTTTTACTGTACTCACTACACAGGAATCTAAGTGGGTCCAAGACCTGGTCCGAACATGACGGCGAGGCGAACAGAAAAGAATCACTGTTTCTGCCAGAATACGAACACCGGACGTCCAATCCGTGGGCCGTCACTTCTCTGCCTGCTAAACTCCTATCGCCGTTCATACTAATGTTTGATAGAAGTCTTGAAAACTTTTAATTTATTTTTATTTTACAGATTAATCTTTTAGTTTAGATTGCATAGCTTTTACTGCGTTCCACCTGAAAACTTCCCCAACGTACATGACGTAGGGAGTATGGATTAAATTCAGCCTCCAGGGAGTTCTTTAAACAACGAATCTGCAGGAGGAAAGACAGAATCTGGAGTTTGATTCGCTCTACACGTTTGTCATTGTTTATTGCTGTTCGCGTCCTTTAAAATTTGGTCGCGTTTTGTCTGGAAGAACTGCTCCCTCGCTTGTATTCTGAGCCCGTGCTGTGAGATTTGGGGTTAGGAGCACGATTTGATGTAACGCAGTGATGCAAGCTTCCATGATTCGACATGAGGAGCAGCGCTGAAATCTCGATGAGATCAATTGACATTCTAGTGAAACAGGCGGTGCATTACAATGACGTTAATACAGGAACACATGACGGAACTTTGTGAATTTGTTTTTGTTGTGTTATGAGGTCAAGTTTAGTGCAGTGCATGATGGAGACAGTAGTTATAAAAGTGTGGAGCACGAGTCAAATTGGGCTGGAACACTGGTTCTTCTTTAATGGCTGGCCAGTCGGTGCCTCAAAGGCATCGAAATTATTGGCGCTTTGTTGTAGAGTTTCTCAACCAGTGTGCCGCGACGCGATCGTAAATATGCCACGACATTTTAAATTCAAGTTGGATCTTGATTCACAAGTGTGTTAATATTAGTGACCTATTTTTTATCCCAGATTCGTGGTCTCATTAGCTTGTGTCTTCATATCTGTGTCAAATTGCAACTGCTTTCGTATTTTAATTGTTATCCATATTTATTAAATAATTATTATTTCCAGATAAAGGGATTTTAAGTAAGCCAAATAATTGTCATACTGTTTAATCTCCACGGTTTTGGCAATTATTTATACAGAAGGCTACAAGAATTTAAAAAATAATGACTTATGAAAGAAACGGACATTGTTCTGTATACAGGCACACGCAACTTTAAAATAACATTTCGTTTGAGATTTTGAACCGGGCACAAAACAGTAAAAGAAATGCCGATAGTAACCACTTATGGCTTTCGTCCTGCGTATTTGACCAGAAATATTACTAAAATTATTAAAATATGTTTTAAGATTTTGCATAATTTACTTTTTAGGGCATGAAAGATGGAGTCGTTATACGATTTTTGTACGAGCACGTTCAGATCATAATTTGGCTTACAGTTCTACAGGCGGAAGTGAAGGTTTGCGTGATTTTTGTTAGAGGCACAAAAATAATTGACTAAATCAGTTTGATCCAACTTTTTTCCTCCCTCGGGCCAGAATAGTTTTGCAGTTGGACCCAAGGGCCATGAAACCCCCCTGTCACTATTTTTGCATTGTCATTTGCTTTACCCCTCTGCGGTCCGATGTCGGACTGAGTCCGCCACGTATTTTACGAATTTTTTACGTGATCTGGGGTCAAACTGAGGCTTGCAAACAGTGTCAGCGTATCATTCAAGCCTTCTTCCTCCTTGCACTAGTTCTATCCTAGTTTCCCTGGTAAGACTTTGTGCACTGATAACAGTGAAAGGAGGCAGGAGGTAAAAGTCGTCTTATTCTGACACGTGTCCAAGGAAGCCAGGATTGGAGAAGGAAGAAATCTATGGAAAAATCTTACGAGAAGAAGAGATAGGATGGTGGGACACATTCTGAGGCACCCAGGATTGGTTAATTTGGTAAGGGAAGGAACAGTTGAAGGGAAAAATTGTAAGGGGAGACCAAGATTGGAATATGTGACGCAGATTTTTGAGGATGTGGGCTGCGAAAAATATGTGGAAATGAAGAGATTGGCGCAAGATAGACGAAAATGGAGGATCACATCAAAATAGTCGGAAGACTGATGACAAAAAGAGGGAATTTAAACACTTTTTTTCCTCTCATAGAAACAAAATGGGTCTTTATGTTTCACAGCATGCAGCATGCTCTCGACCACCTCAGCGACTAACAGTTTCTCACATGTGACTTTATCCCACCGCATCACTTACTTAAGTTTAAAAGAAATGTGTACACTCTTTTTTGATAAGTTATTAAAAGTGAAATAGCCTTTAATTTACCATGATAAGGCTACTATTCAGAATATTATGTTAAAGCTATTATATACGCACAAAATAATACTTAAAATCTTTGTTTCACAATGTAATTAAAGGGGCGATGTATTCAATAAAAGCCAATGCCTGATTAAATCAAACATCGTAATCAGTCGATTAGCATTCTCTCTTTTAATTTCGGAGGTTATGGGCAAAACTTGGCTCAGAGAGCGGCAATTTTGATGGCTCTGTCCTCGTTTCCCTCAGTTCCTTAAGACAATCACGGGATAGCACCTCAAGTAAGGCCACGACCACTTCCCTCCACATCCTTCACAACTGATTCATTTAATCTTCCTCCATTCAGCACCACTCTTCTTACTTTCAAGAACTAAAGGCCTTGTGGACCTTGGATTTCACTGCATTTTCTTTCCATTCTTGATGGTCCTTAGCCACTTTATACCAATTTTCTTATTCCCATGATTTTCAAATCTTCTTCAGCCTCATCTCATCTCTATGTTTATTACGTGGTCTACCGCTCT